TGAATTCAAGCTTAAAAATGGCATTTAGAAAATAATTGTTGCCCACAGTGGAGTTCATAGACCTTCAGTGTGTGAAGCATTTGGCGATAGAAATACAAGTAATCGCAAGAGAATTTTACGATTGTCTAAATTTCAAGTGATGGATGAGCTACTGATTCCCAAAGCTCGTTAATCTGAACTACTAAACACTCGCGCATCTTTCGAGATTATATTCTCCTTCTCTCACCATTGCTGGTTAGGCTGGCTCTGCTGACTACAAGAATAAGACGTCTCCAAGCTGCTCGGTCCGACGCCATCGCTAGTAATAATAGAAGCCATTCCTTTTTCCATCGTCTAAGTCCATATATCGCTGGTCCCCCTATATGTTCGAAATCTTTTCTGACGGTATCAGTCCAGGTCTTGATTGGCCCACCTCACTTTTGACGCCATTCATCACACGGTTTAGCAAGTTAACAGTTAACAATTAACGAAATATGCGTCAACTCTTGTGGTGAACGGCGGAGAACGAGTCCTAACCAGCGAAGGCGGCGCTCTGTGATAACATTATTAGTGTAGGTGGTATTTGAGCGAAGGTGGATGGAGTCATATGCGATTTTATCTGCTCCGCGGATCCGTAGAATGTACCTTAGACATGAGTGGTCAAAAGCTACTAGTAGCTTCTTAATATCTTCCACTCTCATTGGCCATGTTTGGCAGCCATATAGCAAGATCGAACGAATTGCAGATATATGGATGCGAATTTTCGTCGTCGAGATGATATAAATTATAAAAATTCGAAACATGAAAAATTTACAGTTTTTATGTTCGAACACCTCTCATCATTACTGATTCGCTTGGCTTCCTTCGCTGGTGATAAGCATAAGAAACGCTTCCAAGCTATTCGATTCGGGTTTTATTAGAAATCTTCATGAAATATTTTATTTATTAAATATTAAATAATCATTACTTTCAATCATTATTTTTCTAAATTTACCATTATTATTTATTATTATTATTATTATTATTATTATTATTATTATTATTATTATTATTATTATTATTATCAATGCTTGATTGATTTATTTATTCTTCTACATGTAACTAGTAAATGTAAATAAAAATCGCTTTTCCATTATGATTCCATGAAAAAATAAACTATTTTTTTTGTTTTCTATCATACCTTTTCTTATTTTCCTTTTTATTATTTGCTATCTATCATTATTGTTATTGTCATAAATTTTTTTTCAAAAAATCGTTCCACTCTTCAGAAATACTTTAAATTTTCAATAAATTTCTATACATTTTGCTTTCATTTTAAAAATAATCTATTTCTAAGCAAAAGAATTCCTAAAAGCACTCCAAAAGTCTTTGTTTTTTTTCTTTCTTCTTTAAAAAATTGTCTCCAAATTTGAAGGAAGAAGGAAGAATATTTGAATTTGTATCATTCTCATTAATTACATTATCGTCGTACATAACAAACATAATGCCACATTGTGTTGTCGCACGATTAGAACAACCATAAAACTATATATATATATATATATATAATGAAAAAAAATTATAGAAATTATTATCAGTGTTTTGTGTTGTGTATTATCAGTGATATTGATATTAACTAATCTCATTTCTCATCATTTACTGATATTCAAATAACGGATAATAGCTAAAAAAAATTATGTGGATTTTAATGATAATTCCTGATTATCTATTATCCAATATTGCCAGTCACTTATCATTTATCATTTGTTTAATATTGACTAATCATACTTTATTGATATACTTACTGATTGACATTCAATTGTCCGATGTTGCTAATATAAAATCACGTGAAATTTAGTAAACCCCTTTCACTTTTGCGCAATTTTCTATGATCAATGATGAATGATAAAAACCAGAAATATTGCTAGATTTTTCATTCGTATTAATTCACATAGGATTTTCACGTGAATTTTGTCAGTCAGTCGAGAAAATTCATTCAAATGCATTTGTCGACGACGAGAAAAACGCGTATTGAAGTACAAATTCCATTGCATTTATCATTTCATTTTGTGTTGTATGATTCAATGAAAAAAATTTTTTTATTTTTTATACTTTTATACTTTTTTTTTAAAATTAAATCTTTTATTATCATTATCACCATTATCATTATTTGTTATCAGTATTGCCGATATCAGTATTATCGATTAGCCTTAATCTACTGGTTGTAAGGATATGTTAAAAGATAAAAGAATAGAATATCTTAGCTTGAGGGTCATTAAACAAAGATCTTTTTTTAATGATAATTTTAAATTTTTGCTATTATTATTGCAATTGATTCATTCAGTAATGAAAAATTAAAATTATAAAAAGAATTATAAAAATGATAATTTTTATCAATAGATAAGTCGTTAAGTGATCAAAAATCAAATCAAATATCACGTTTTTTTTATCATTAAGAAAACTCGTTTCAAATTCGCATTTGATTCGCAACATATTTTCGTACTTAATGAATATCGTTTGCAATTATTTTATATTTCAATTTTTCATAATTTTAATTGATAAATAATGCAAAAATAAAAATAAAAAGAAAAATACGGTTAATTAATGAAATGCATTAGAAGAAACTACCATTTCCATGTAGAGATTTTTTATTTAATGCAAGTACATAAGTAAAAATCTTTGAAAAATCTCCGTATTTTGGTGATACTTCTTTTGGTAACTAACCGGTGACTAGCGGTGACTTCCTAACAAAATTCCTCCTATCCCATCCGATAAACCAGTGGATACCAATCCAATCCTCAAGGATCGAAATTTCTTTGCAGTCCACAAATATAATATATTCTAATAATTGAACATCTTCGATGGCAATTCAATAACTATACGGCACTTGACCTTTCGTATATATAAAGACAATAAATAATACGACTATAGATTTCCTTGGAAATAAAGCAAATAACAATAAATCGAATATAATTTAACAATTGGCGAATCGTGAAATTCATTATTTCCAAAATTTTATTCATAAAATATTTATCGTTAATGTGTTTGACCTTTAAATTTATTAGTATTAGGACTTGATATTTGAGAAACCAAAGGTAAATCGATTTAAGCTTTATCAATAATATTGATTGATAATAACTTCATATCAGTATATCCAAATTCAAACTTTAGTCATTGTGAAGAAATATTTTATAGTGTCATTGAGGAAAATTTTAAAATTTATCAAATTTTTTTAGAATACTCTTATCACTTCTTGTTTATTATCGCTTCGCTTATTTATAGACCAGGTAAATTTTGCAAAAGAAATGGCTTAATAGAATAATAGAATAAAAAGATCAATCTATAGATCAGATAGATCAGTATCATAGATAATATCAATATGGATCAATCGCTAGCACCAGCCAAAGCCTTTATTTTTCGGATGGGGTCCTTAGGAAAGAAATATTCGTAATGCTTACCTATCCCACCTTAAATATTGGAATCGCATATTGGAATCATGCGACTGAGACATCGTAATATGGTCGGTGTCAGATATTGTGGAACAAGGATTATCTTTTTTCAAAGATAAATTTAATCTTGTTGGCAAGTGGAACAATCCGAAATGAGAGCCGAGCCATTCTGCATTTATTTATCAATAAATCAAATCAACTGATTATAAAAAAAATGATATATTCAGAGAAATCTTTTATCAATTCACCGTTAAAGTAAAAAAAAATTCAAACGAGATGAACTCTTCCTTATCTCTCATTTATTATTCACAAAAAAAAAAACTTTATACGATCTATCAGACTTTAAAATATCAAAAATATTAGCCATATATTCATTATTTTAAATTAATGATAAATTGGTGATAAAGAGAAAATTTTTAATAAAAAACCAGGCTGATTCATTATCACAAAAAAAAAACTAAAATCACTCTTCAATGGTTATTTCGCCGAATTTTTAATCAATCAACTAAAATTTTAGAACTTTCGAATTTTACTAAGGACAATTCCAAAATGATTTAGAATATTTATTCGTTTATGTAAATTAATGCAAATAAATTTCTAATAAAAATTACAAACATTTAATATTAATAATATTAGCATAAATATAATAAATAAATAATAATCATCGAAATAAGATTAAAAAAAAAAAATTTTATTAAATTCCCGCAAAAAAAAGTATAAAATAAATAATTTTAAAGTTTATTTGTAGTAAATCATAAATCGAAAAAAAAAACAAATTTTTGATTTTTAATAACTAAAAATCAAACAGTACTTTACTTGTGTATTATAAAAATGATAAAATATTCAATGCATAGTTTTCAACCTTTTTTGAAAATATAAAAAAATAAATCTTTTTGTAGAATAATAAATAAATAAATAATAATTCATGAAGCACAAATTATAAATTAAAGATTTATTCTTTCTTTTTCGTCTGAACGATATTCTTTTTTTTTTTGATTTAACTCGTATCCGAATCGCATTGATAATCGATAATTGAAACATGTTTATCAGAGAATCATGGAAAATACCAATTATTAATGCATTCCACTGATTAAAGCTTGGCAGAAAAATATTAACAGTTAAAACCAATAGCTCTAATTTTTTTCTTTTTTTTCAAATCAATTTATGCTTTATCGGTAATATCGATTGATAATAAATGAGTTTATTAACGAACAAATAACTTTACGAAAAATCCCTGAAAAAAACAAAATATTTCTAAAAATGATTAACAAAAAAGATAACATAAATTCATACGAGTAAAAAATAGAATAGAGAGGCAGCCGGTTAAAACAATTTTATAACTGATAGTGATCATATGTACATTGTATTGCCAAAAACAGCCAAAACATTTGCACAAAACTCTTAAACTTCAAGTCTCTGGTAAAGAATACGAAACTGAGGATGACGACCCATTACAATCACAGGAAGTGAGAAAGGGTTTATATATAATTGCAAAAAGTTCAGATCTCATTATCAGCAAATTTCGAGCGATCAGCATTTAACCGACATAACAATATACATGATAATGGTAGAAAAAAAATGGAATTAACGAATTTACAAAATACCAGCCTTAATAAGGAAATATGGAGTCATGAGATTATCAGCAGTAGAATGAGAAGCGACAGCAAAATAAGGATAATTAGAGACACGAGGATATAATAAAGGTAAAGGAGGCAAAAGGCCATCGAGATAAAAATCGACAGGTGGTACAGGGAATGACGATGATGATAATGATGATGATGATAATGATGATGCTGATAACGATGATGCCGACAACGATGATGATGAGGATGATGATGAGGTTGAGGATGGTGATAATGATGGTGATAATGTCATCGATGGTGTCATTGGTTCAATTATGGATTTTATCGAAGGACTATATTCGAAATAAACCGGACTACTTGCATCGACGAATAGTTGCTGCTGTTGCAGCTGCTCTTGTTGTTGTTGTTGATCTTGCTCATTTTCATCATCCGAAACGACTGATATCGTACTTACACTATCAGACCGACTTAGTTCTTCATCCGTATTAGTATTCGTAATAACGCTAATATTGCTATCGTTATCACTTGTTTTCATTTCCATTTTAGCAATTCGAATTAGTTCTAATAATTCGCGTCGTTCTGCCTCCAATTTCGCTTTTCTTTCATCAACTTCATTTTTCTTTCGTTCCAAATCCTTAAATTTTTATTATTTTTATTATTTTATTTTTATCACTTTCAATTTAAATTAAAAAATATTTCTCGAAATTTAATAAATAATTTTTTTCTTTGTTTTTTAAAATATTAAATAAATCATTAAAATTTACTCGAATTTTTATCGAATTTTTTCGAAAAAATATTTAAATATTTAAATCCACAAAAAAAAATTTTTTTATTTAGTTTTTCGCGGAAAATTTTCTCGTTTAAAAACAAAAATTCTTATAAAATGAATAAATATTTTTTGCTTTGCCCGTATGAATTGTAATGTATTTATTTGTTAAATAAATGTTTTAAGAGAATTTTGCTCGGGCATTCATCACATGTCAAATATTTATTGACAAACGATTCCCCCCCATCTCTTCACATGATTTTCAATGAACCAACATGTGGCAAGCAACATTTTGTTGTAAAGAATTATTGTTATTGTTTGTTGATTGGCTCTAAATAATGCGACTCGATCGACCGACCGACCAACCGATCGACCGACCGACCAACCGATCGATCGACCCATCAAACAACTCTTAGATGAACTGTTGCGAGCATCAATCATATTTCTTTTTCTAATCATAATTGACATTTGTACAATAAATTGTAAGTATAAATTCATTGTGACCCCAATCACTTATCAGTCACCTATCAGTAGTATTGGACTTAAAAAACGGAAACAAATCCATTGCCCTAGGATCATCCAATAATAACAATGAACAGATCGGATCAAACTGGATCGGATCGGACCGATCTGACCCAACCGATGGAATTTTTTAGTAAATGATAAAAATAATTTATAAAATACAATATAGAAATAATGATTAGCGCGATTCGGCTCAAAAACCAGTTTCGTTCCGAGAAACGCTAAAACGATTCGGCAAAAACGAAGATTGAATGATTTTTTATGATGAATTTCATTTATTCAAAAACTTTTGCAGAAAGTTTTGCAATTAAATAAAAATTATTATAAAACGAATAAAAATAACAGTAAATTTTGTAGAAAAAAATTGAAAATGTAGAAAATTGCAAAACATTGCCGAGTCGATATTGTTTTTCCTTTTTCGATGATAAAAATAGACTTTTTTTCCAAATTTTTTTTAAATATTTAAAAAAAATGGAAATAAAAACAAAAGGACAAACCAAAACGTGGTCACGAGCTCGAGACAATAGCAAAAGTGTTGTATTTCGTGAATTATTCGCGGTACTTGGCACGAGATCTTTCAATATATCCAAATAATTTCGTAGATGTGCACGACGAGTTTTTTCTAGTTCATTATGGGCTGTTCTGAAATACATTTTTTATTAATATTATTATTAACAATAAAAAAACATTATTAATTAATTATAAATGAATTACTATAACATTATTAGAAAATGCAGCAAAATGCCATACAAAATGCAAAATGCAAATGCAAATTTTTAAATTTTTTACAATTTTTATTTTTTTTATTTTATTTTATCGCTCAAAAGAAAATTTGATTAACCATAATAAAATAATTAAATAATTTAACTAATTAAGAAAATAAAATAATAAAATTAAAAAAGAAAACATATTTTCAATAAAAATTATTCAAAAAGAAAATTTATAATGAATTTATAAATTTCGTAATATTTAATATATTTAAAAGAAAAATATTTAAAGTGCAAAACAAATGGAATCTTGATGATCGAAAATCGAAAAAATTCAATAAAAAATAAAAAAAATTGATGGTAGCTGCCTGGAAAATTTTCAAGAATTTTATCAGTACAATCTCGTGATAATTGTTTTTTATCATTGATGAAAACAAATTTACTTTTTTTTTGTAATTTTTGGGATAACATTTGTGAAATGTGTAATTTTTTTCTTAAAATTAGGAAACAATGGTGTTTGATCGCCTAAGAAATATTTCTAACTGAAAATTTTAAGAAAAATTTTGATAAATACGATTAGAAAAATTATTAAAACAAAAATAACTTTAAATTATATATAAAAATCAGGAATAATTAAGAACTGAATTTTTTTTTATATAAAATAAATATAAATATAAAACGAGAGAAATTATTAAAAAAATTTTATGAGAAATGAAATTAAATTAAGCGATTAGTTATGAACGATTATAAAAAGTGCGAAATTCGTTTATTATTCATGGATGTTTAAATGGAATAAAATTAGTATAAAAGACTAGTTCTTTGGATCGAAAGGTGGTGAATAAGGTTAAGCAGAAGGCAGAAGGAAGAAGGCAGAACCAGAACCAGAACCATAACCCGCTACATTCTTTTATAGCCAAAATCAAAACTTATTAGATTCTTTTAAAACTCTTTCGTAGTGATTCAAATTCTCTTCGACATTCGCTTCCCGTTAGATTTCCTCATCGTCGCCAGTCAATCAGTCCTTTGAGATATTTGAGAATATCGTTGAACAAAACCGTATAGTGAGATTTTTTTAAACGGCTACCAACTAGACAACCACTTGTGGTACTCAATTATGAGGTAAACGACAACCACTTGTGGTACTCAATTATGAGTTAAAGAGGCTTGTCTCCCCGCAATGGTAACTTATTGCTTACAAGGAAAGAGATTAGGGAACGCCTTTCAAATTAATCTTTTAACTAGGAAGTCACTTGGGAATAGAAAAATCTTTCCCAAGATTACCCAAATTTGAAAAATTATTTATTCCTGCAAAGAGATATAAATAAATCGATAATATAAAAAACAATAGAGTCTAAATTTAAAACTTAAAATTATTTAAAATAAACGATGAATTCAAAAAATAATAATAAAAACATATAATATACAAATATAATATACAAATATAAATAATAATAAATTTAATTAGAATATATTTGACAAAAATTTTTTAAAAACCCCAAAAAAGAAAGTGAATGGAAAATGTGAGGAATTAGACGACAAAGGAAGAACCGAGCAGTCGAAAACCACCCACGTGAGTCGAGAGAAGTCGGGAGAAAGGAGATGTCGAAAAGACAACACTAACTTAGAGAAAAAAAGAGAAAACATATAACAATAGCGGATGTGCCCTTCGTGAAAATGCGCTCATGTGATGAACATGTGAAGCGCATGTGAAATCGTTCACGCATATATGCGATACCAGCAAAAATAAAGTTTTGTTCATTCGTAATAAAACGTGCGCGTAAATGTGCAAAATTTTTTTTTTTTTTACGTGAAAACGAGAAAATGAAAAGTAAAATTCTACCGATTATGTCGAATGCTACTGCTGCTGCTTATCGATTTTGCAGAGGTCTCGGACAAAGTCGGTGAAGCGGGGCTTAAAGTTCGCGAAGTTGATGCTCGTGATTGATCCTCTAAAATATAAATTTTCATTTCTAATTTTTAATTTATGCTATAAGTCGGTTTTTAATTTAAATTTTAATAATTTTAGATTAAAATAAATTTTAAATTTTTTTTTAATTTACCGCTTATTTTCCTCGAAAAAAAAATTCATTTTCTTTAATATTTTAAAGTAAAAATTGAAAAAAAGGATAAAAAAACAAACAAACCAATATCGAGATTTGTTGAATTCATATTTTCATTAGCAATATGAGTAGATAAAAATTGTTTAAAGACGAGTTGATTAGCCATTTAAATAGTGATAAGAACTGATCTTGAAGCTAGCGCTAACTCCTCGAGTTCGAGATTGAACAAAACAGCATAAAATTTCAAAGAGCTCTCTTCCACTCAGCAAACCTAAAGTTTACCAGGATAGAACAAAACGCGCTTCTAGTACGCCTTATGTCGTCCAGACTGATCACACATAGGGGTTGGGCTAATTTTTAAAAAAACTTCATAGACTATGGAAAGTGAGGAGCGTCGCAGAGAAGTCAGATAAATTTCTAAAGAATATTGTAAACGAGGAGCATTGAAAGATGCTTGATTAAGGGAATTCCTTACTGATGCAAATAAACAAACATATCGTGGGAATAGCAAGATGATAATGAGTATTTTTGATCAATTATCATAAACTCATGACTTATAGGTGATCGTGACCCGTGGATGGCGATAACCTATAGGTGACAATTAAGCTATAAGTCCTGTCCACTGCCTCATTGGCTAAGAATCCATGAACACATGCATGCATCGAAATTCAAATCCCGAATTCATGATTTAAAACTATGATTTGCAATTCTTTTTATCATTAATCTTATCAAATATTAATTTAAAATTAATTTTTAAAATTAGCAAAAATTTTTTAAAAATCAAATTCGTTTTTCCTTCGAAAATTAAATTTTATAAAATTAAATTCATCAATAATTAATTATTATTTATTACTAAAATTTGTCAAATTTTTTAATTGAAATCGAATAAATTCGTTGGAGGAGGAGCGGGAGGAGGAGGAGGAGGAGGAAAGGATTCATCTATCATTATATAGCCAGTATAGCCAATCAATGTATAAACTGGTTAGTACCATTGAAAAGAACTGGAAAAGATTTTATTCAGTTATGTAACATTTTTTAAAAGAATTTTTATATAAAAATGAAAGCATTTAATCAAAGAATTTTCACAATTTTTTTTTTATTGATAATTAATAATAATTTTTTTATTATTAATAATTTATTTATTTAATGTAAAGAAATATCGTCGATGCATAATTTTAATTTTTTTTCTATAAATATTTTTTTTGTTGTATCCGATGAAATCTCCGTCGTAATAATTTTTATTTTACGTAGTCAGTCAGTTTAAAATAAAAACAGATCTACGCATAGGGAATGAATTGGAACCAACTGAAAATCATAAAATGATCGAGAATGGTGGAACATTGCTTCCAGAAAGTACCATAAAGCAGTCCTATCGCATATTTTATTTATTTTAATTATTAAATGTGAAATTCGATTAATAAATTTTAAAAGCATTTCTAAAAGGAAGGAATTCTAAAGAAGAGCTAAACCAGGCTAGCGATCTCCATTTGTCGTTCTCTCAATTAATCTAATAATAATTTTTAAATAATTTTTTTGTTAAAAGAAAGAGAAAAATGAAAAATTTAAAATAAAGCAAAATTTGCAAACATTACGATTATCAAAATTTTTAAAACTTTAAAATTTTTTTTAAAAAAACTTTTTTTTTAAAAAATTTTTCGTACTGAAAAAAAAGAAAAATCAAATTTTAATGTTTTTATATTTCAAACAAATCGACTTGAATTCGACTTTTAAATTTGGGAAAAAATTTTATTATCAATTATTATCAGTTAAATTGTTAATTATCCAATTTTTAATTTAATTTTGAATTTTTTAAAATTCTTTTTTTAAGCGATTTTAATTTTGTTAATAATTTTATATGGGAAAAATTAATCAAAACATTAAAAATTTTTTTTTTAGGATAATTAAAATAATGTTCTATAAAAATAAAATTTATTTTTTATAATTATTTTCGTTGAAAAAATTTTAAAAAACTCAAAAAAAAATTTTTTTTTTATTTAAATCGATCAAATTTGATAGCAAAATGAATAGAATTGTGTTTCCAAAAAAATTTTTCTATTTTTTAAATTTTATTTATAAATATTTAAAATATTTATTTGTAAAAGATAATAATAAAAAAAAAGATAATAACAAAGATAATAACTGATAATTGAAATACTCGAATATTTTTATAAAAATCTCACAAAATGAATCAGTGGTTTTTTAAAAAAAATTTTTTTTCGAAAAAAAATGACCAATTGTTTCAAATTAAATAATAACTATTGACTCATATGCAACTGTCTTGCTGTATTTGAATACTTATAAATAACTTTTTAATGCAAAAGTAGCAGCAACCGCAGCAGCAACAGCAACAAAAGCAGCAACAGCGACAGAAGCAACAAAAGCAGCAGCAGCAGCAGCAGCAGCAGCAGCAGCGACAGCAGAAACGGCAGCACTCATCGAGCAATTTCGAGAATTTTGCTCTTGCAAGGAGTATGTCTGGCGGGGTAAATCGGGGTTTTGCGCGATATATGTGTATATGGTATGTGTATTTCGATTTCACGACGATCATAATAACCACTAAATAATAATAAAATTCGATATGACGAGAAACATGTGAATCGCATATGCTTTCCGAATCTATAAAATTGTGAAATATCGATGATAGATTTGCAAATATATAAATATATTATAAATTATAAATATAACAATTCTTTTGCATTTTATTTACACTTTAGTTTGAAAATTTTTGAAAGAAAAAAAAAAATGTGGAAAATTTTTTTTTTCCTGAAAAATAATTTACAACAAATAGCAATTTTATATTTTTTTAATAGGTAATTTTTTTTAAAAAAATTTAAAAGAAAAAAAACAAAATTAGTAAAAATTTTTTTTTTTTTGTTAAAATTCCTT